GGCACCTGTGGTCCCAGCTACCTGGGAGGCTGAGGCAAGAGAATCACTTAAGCCCAAGAGTTTGAGGTTGCTGTGAGCTGTGACAACATAGCACTCTACAGAGGGCGACATAGACTCGGTCTCAAGAAAAAGGGGGGGATTCTAGAACCTCCTGGGTGCTGAGCAGGCAGGGTGCGTACTCACTGTGTGCCTGCATCACCTCTGAGACGTTGAGCCCTTCCCGCATCCTCATGACGCACACACCGTAGTTGAAGTCAAAGGCATCGCTAGAAAGAAAGGGTAGAATCCAGCTTCTCCCCAGCTCTGCCCAGGAGAAGACCTGGTTCCCAGGAGGCTAGGTGTCTAGAGCTGGCCCTGCCTCCTTCCGTATCATTCTCTTTCTCTGGGCCTCAGTTTCCACATCTGCATAGCATGTAGGCAGAACTGGAGAGTGCCCAGGCCTCCTCCAGCCCCACGGTGTGTGGCACTGTGGATCCTGTGGACCTGGCACTTGGGGGGAAACCAAGTCAGCCAGCCCTCCTGATACACTTGGCCAATCCTCACAACTCTGCCCACAGAGGTGGGGATGGTAATTATTATCTCCATTTTACAGATGCAAAAACTGAATTTTGGGGAGTCACTTGGCCTGTGACCACACAGGCAAGGAAGTGACTGTCTGGGATCAGAATGATATAGCTGAGACTACAAATCAAAGGACAGATATATGGTATGCCCTGAAGATTCCTGCCCCCAAAGCATATTTACTACCTGATGGCCACAGTGCTCAATACTCTAGGAGGCCAAGGCGGGTGGATTGCCTGAGCTCAAGAGTTCAAGACTAGCCTGAGCAAGAGTCGGATATTGTCTCTAAAAATAGTCAGGTGTTATGGTGGGTACCTATAGTCCTAGCCACCTGGGAAGCTTTGGGAAGAGAATTGGTTGAACCTAAGAGTTAGAGGTTGCTGTGAGATGATGCCACGGCACTCTACCGAGGGTGACAAAACAAAACTCTGTCTCAAAAAAAAGCGCACTATAAGGGTTTGAGCCGACTGCTCTGCCTGAATTCCTTTCATTACACATGTCTGGGACAGGGATCTTGCAGGCCCTGCACTGTGAAGTCTTGGAATGTTGGAGCTGGAGGGGGCCTGGAGACCAGGGGTCTCACTCCCTGTTGTTATCCTGTTAGAGGCAGTGGAGATGGCTGCTCTGAACCCCACAGCTGGTTGATAACAGACCCAGATTAACTCTGGCGATCAATGGGGTGACATGTCACAGCCAGATCACCCTCAGCACTCTGGGAGGCCGAGGCAGGTGGATTGCCTGAGCTCACAGGTTTGAAACCAGCCTGAGCCGGAGTGAGACCTCATCTCTAAACATAATCAGGTGTTCTGGTGGGCGCCTATAGTCCCAGCTACTTGGGAGGCTGAGGCAAGAGAATTTCTTGAGCCCAAGAATTTGAGGTTGCTAAGAGCTGACACAATGGCACTCTGCTGAGGGTGCCAAAGTGACACTCTATCTCAAAACAACAACAAAACAGCAGACCTGGCTTGGCGCCTGTGGCTCAAGCGGCTAAGGTGTCAGCCACATACACCTAAGGTGGCGGGTTCGAATCCCCAGCCCGGGCCTGCCAAACAACAATGATGGCTGCAACCAAAAAATGGCCAGGCGTTGTGGTAGGCGCCTGTGGTCCTAGCTGCTTGGG